GCTGCCGGCCCGCGGGTCTGCTCGGCCCCGTAGCCTGTGTGCCGTACGGACGGCCGTGTGCGGGCCGGGCTGCCGGGGCCCCCCAGCGGGGCCGGGGGCTGCCGGTGCCGCGTGTGGCGGGGGGGGGGCGGGCCGTGGGGAAGGGCCGCGGCGCTGGAGCCGCCTCTGACGCGCTTCCTCTCGCCGTGCAGGTACTGCCAGGTGAACGTGCCGGACGAGCTGTTGCGGGACCTGCTGCCAGGCCCTGTGACCCTGGTCTTAAAGCGCTCAGAGGAGCTAAATAAAGACTTGAATCCTTTCACATCGGTAGGTCTTTGCCACAGGATGCACCGCTGCATTTTTGAGGGAGAGTACGCTACTTTTGTTGTTCTGCTGCCGTGGCTTTTATTTGTAGGTGTGTGTTAGTGTGCTTAGCAGTGATCGGCGCTTTCCCAAAGCTGGTCCCTGTGCTGTGTGCTCCCTGCGACCTCTTTGAACACGGCATGACCCTGCACTGGGGCTAACCTGCGAAGGCATGTCTCGTCCTGCTGAGTATTGATTCTCTGTGGGATCAGCTTCAGTCACAAGGGCTTTAGGTAATGCAGGATTGTAAACAGTTACTGCGCATAACACCGTGCTCTCTTCTTCCTTGTAGCTGGTTGGTGTTCGAGTTCCAAACCACCCTTTTGTTAGGGAGGTGGCACGAGCTTGCTCTGGACCACTGGCTTTAACAAGCGCTAACATCAGCTGTCAGGCCAGCACACTGACTGTTTCGGTAAGGCTGGTTTTGCCACTAAGTGACATTGTTGTGGTAGTCTGCCAGGGCCCCAGGCTCTCACAACTGGAAGCCAGCTTTAGTGATAAACAAGGGCTTCTCTTTTGCTAACAACTTTTTTTTTAAATGATAATCGCTAGTTAAAACAGCCTGTGGATACATGATGTGGGGCAGTTGTCTTGCTGTGATCCTTACCTTAAAAAGCGGGAAGGGGGGAGGGGGAGGGGCGCAGAGCTGAAAAGTAGTATTTAAAGACTTACATGCGGCTTTTGGAGTGGGTGCCTAATCTGAAAGATGGAAATTGCTGTAGGAGGGGTGGTTGTGGAACGAGGCTGCTGCGGTCTGCACGGCTCCTCGCAGCCTGGCAGCAAACAGGAACTTGAGGAGACGTTGTTTTGCAAAGCTTGTGGCCCTGGTGATGGTGTAGTTGGGCGTAGTACAGAGAGATCCCCTGTCTTTGCCTCGAATGTCTTGGTAGACTCTTGGCTTTTTTTGTGCCCTCCTCAATAAACAGTGGTGCAGCCAAGGAGTCTTCAGCTGGAGAATCCTTATGGCTTTCCTGTGTGTCCGAGGTAAACGTTCTCAGAAGTCAAACTGGGATGTGCCGATGACGGAAACAGAGGAAGGGGAGAGACCACTTCCCTTGGCACCAGAGCGTCCGGTGGTGTCTGTCAAAGCGCGATCGTGAACCAGCTTCAGGACTGTTGGCTACAGCTCTCTCTTTCAGGAATTCCAGGACCTGTGGCCTCAGTTGTCCTTAATCATCGATGGAGGCCCGATAGGGGACATCCAGAGCCCTGAGTGTCGTTTGGGGTCCACCGTGGTTGACCTGTCTGTGTCGGGGAAGTTCACCATCATCCGTCCTGGCTGGTGAGCGTGCTTTGAACAGACCCGTAGCTTTTTCTTTACTTTAAATGGAATGAAGCTTTCAGGTTGGGGGGGGTCGTGCTTTGCTGCTTTTCCCACAGCAGTTGAACCTTCCCATTAACGTCCTTTAGCTTAATTACCAGCACGCTCAGAAATCCTGGAAGCGTGCTGCCAAGCCCGGGAGACTCCTTTCTAGAAGCCTCTATGTAAAACACTCTCATTTCTGGCATTGGTGTTCTCCTTGATTCAAAATGCAGAGCTGCGTCCAGCCGATGGCTCTTTCCCAGAAAAGGCAGTTTAATCTTTAAAAACCTTTTTCCTGACGTTCTGTTTCACCCCACAGTGCCCTGACATCTACGGTGGAAATCCTGAGGCAGAAGTACGGCTTGGTACCGGGATCATCTTGAGACTTCGGACTCCGAGGAGGCTCTTCAGAGCTGATGAAGCTGGGCACCGTGTGCCTGTGTGTTCAGGGAATGGGCGTTCGTGGCCTTGTTTAATAAGGTCAGTGGGTTATGTTAAGGTTAATAAACAAAAGATAAAATAAAAAGATAAAAGAATGGAGCAACAGTTGATGGGTATCTGTTAATTAGTACCACATCTGCTATAGTCTGAGAAACCAACCCAAATACGTATGCTGACCTCTGTGCT